GGGGGGGGGGGTTATGGGGAGGGGAGTTGTTTGTTTTAAACAGTATCAAGGCTTAAGAGACCAATCTTGGGGAGCATAAGAGAATGGATTGTTGATCCTATTAGCCAAGAATGGTGCTGACTCTACAGGTCTATGCCAGGTGCAAAGGAACATATTTCCTACACTGAACATAAATAGTAAATTTGTATACTTGCTGTCTTGATACTTGCTTTTTTGCAACTGCCTCTTTTTAGCATCATTATCATTTTTAAGCCTACATATACACTAATAATCACATTCTAAACTAACAGATGCAAATTTATAAAAATATATTAAAGCCAATAAGATTAATTTTTAGTGTATACCATAAAATTAATGTTGGTGCCTCCATGGCCCCTGTTTTTCTAATCTCCTTAAGTTCTCATCCCCAAACACACATTTATGTCACTGAAAAACTTACCTCCCCTAACCTGAAAACAAAAATAGACAACCCAATTTAACTCTTATTTGGGAAGCTCTACTCCTAGGCTGAGACTGTTATGCCAAATTTCAGCTTGGGGCCAATTTTTACAGACAACTTATTAAATTCTGAAAAAAAGTGTTTATTAAAGAAATGAAAAGAGACCAACAGCTTCAATGAAATATTCAATTTTTTCAATAAAATCAATTTTTGCTCTTAAATCAGTTGCACTGTCAGAAGGCAAATTATTTTTGGATACTGAAGATTATCTTTTCTTATAAAAGAAGAAACAGCCAAAATATGGTTTTCTAATGAAAATAGCTGTTCTAATTTTAATAAAACAATAGGAGTAAACAGAAAGAAAACAGCACAGCCACTCTGTATGAGCTCCTCAAACCATTGCTCTGAAGCCTCCAGCATAATTAAAATTTCTTTCTTCAGTACCATGATGGGCCACGTGAAGCTATCAGGCATCTCCCACCCTTCATTTTCAATTCACCTCTCCCCCTAAGCACAACTCCCAGCCCGCCCTGTCTACCTGACAAGTGACAGCCCAATCTGATTAAATGCTTGCAAGGGAGGGGACTCGTGGGCCTCCATGACAGGCCAAAAGTGATCACCATGGAGATACATAATTACAGCTGTCAACGCGTCTACTGTCCTGCTGGCATCAATTTGATTGCTCCCAGCAATAATGATAGACAAAGCTTAGTGTGCACTCTCTTGCACCCAATCACTTTATCTATTCCGTGGTCCATTTAGCTGACATGCAACATTCACACAAGCAAATAACAGCAGTAAGCAGAACATTTAAGGCATTTTAATTGTTTTTTCTTTGTATGGATGGCTCACAAGCGCAAATGTTATTACATAAAACTCCTGCTGTAGCATTAATTGAAGAAAGATTTGGTGGGACAAAGACTGTAGGGGGTAGAGTTTGTCCATTATCACTTGTACTTTCAACAGGTCTCACGTTTGGAAAATTGCAAATTGCAAAAACTTGCAAGGGCAAAATGTTTGACATCCTGTTAGCTATTACAACATGGTGAAAACTTCTAACAACCACTAGAGTAATCATTATAAATTCTTATTTAATACAGTCTTTGTTTCATTAAAAAAGTTTGGATACATCCTATGATACTCATTTTTCTTATCTTCTACTTAATGTCACATAATGCCTGTTAAGCCTTTACATTTTTTTCTGCTTTCAGGCTTTGAACACAGCATGAAGCCTTGGCAACCAGAAAGGGTCAGGTCCCTTTAGAAAGCATATGAGCAAAAACAATTTAAGAAGTGAAATAAATCATATATCCAATAACATCACCAAATTTAGGATTCCTCCTGTAATCCTCCACTATTTTCCATGCAAGTAATCAGAATAAATCATATTCACAGATGGTACAGCCTTGTCATTCCACTAGCTGACACAGTGTCATATATATATGCACTTATTACGTTGACTACCTAGATTATACAGAAAGGCAATGTCCTTGTTCTTTTCATGCAGCACAAAACTGTTTGTTAAACAGCCATTCTGCATAGTTAGACTACACAGTGCAATGTATAATAATCACTTTTCTTCAACTGTAGCAAATAGCATTTGCTCTTTAAAGGCTATGAAGCAGAACAAGTAGTAGAGTTTCTCTGTCTTCTCCAGTATAGTCTACAGTTCTTTGCAGTTAAAGAGTTCATTCAACATTTGATTATTCTATTTGCTCTACAGGATATTTAAATCTAAGCCTTGTTTGAAAGGATTACACTTCAAGAGATAAAATCCAAAAATACTTCAACAGAACAACATTTTGTAGTTTAGTTTTATGCACATTTGGGATAAAATGTTCATATCAAATTTAGCACTGTATTTTTTGTACTTTAATCTAAATAAGCAGAAATGAATAGCATGAGCTCCTTAAAAGTGATATCAATAAAAAATAAAAGCTAGGGGCCCAATTTTGAAAGTTGCCAAGCAGCTAAAACTCCCAACAAAGTAAATGAGCTCCATAGTGCTGTGAATGTATGAAAACTCCGACCCTGTTACTTACATTGGGCACATGCAATGGTTCTTGGTACTGCGACAGTTTACCAATAGACGGCAGGCCAAAAGATTTATAGGGATCCTGAAATAAAGTTCAAACATAAGAAAAAATGAATTTACAGAGATGGGCACACAAGGAGAGATAAACACGCAGAAAAAAATTAAATAGTTGCAAAATAAATAGCTTTTACCATTTCTGCTTAAGATTGATTTATTTTATTTTCAAAATCCCTTATTTTGGGCTATGCTTTTCTTTCTTCCAACAACAAATTGCAAATTTTCCTTTTAAATCTCATAACCTGTAGTACAGTTATTAAATCAGGAAAAAAGTAGTCCTACCTCATAAATACTCAAACTATTTCATTAAGATATAAAAGATATTGAATCTTCATTCTCCATCCTCATTACTCATTCTTTTGGTTTGGGAGGAGATACAGAGAAATAGGAGTGGAATTAGAAGGAGGGCAGGAAGTAGATCTTTAAAGACATAAAGGGCAGCTCTCACAAGTACCCAATTCCCTATGAAAGTCAAATTACTTTCATTTCTTTCCAAATCTCTCTATAATACAATATCACTGCAGACTTATCAAGGTATTGAATTCTGTAGCAAATGGACAACGTACCTGTGACAAAACAGATTTTGTGTTTAGATACCATGCCTTAGCCATGCTTGAGAATATTTATTGCTATTATAGGGAATCATAACACAAATGTAAACAACCACTTATAAATTCTGGATTCACTTTCAAAGTTCATCCTATGAAACAAATGTAGCTAGAAAAGACCTAGCTTTCTTCATGAACTCTTCACCAAGTATCAAATGGATTAGTACCATAAAAAGTTTGGGGGCTTACAATATTTTAGCCAAATATCTTTTTACGCTAAAAAGAAACAAGTGAAATATAGAGGTAAGCAAAAATGATATACTAGTTAATAGTCTAACGGTAAGCAAAATACAGCCGAAACATCATATATGACTGAGAAATCAGAGTAAACATCCTTTGAAATTACAGCCATTTGTATGTCTTACTACAAGAGACCTAGTTTCCTCTAAAAATGTATATGGAAATAATTTGGTGTTTCTCTCTCCTTTTAAAAAAAGGAAATAAAAATTCTACACAACTCTTCTTTCCACTGTATTACATACAATCAATCAAGCTCAGGTTATAAACCTTGATCTCACCTTGGTGTCCATCTACACCTGAGTATTATGTGTTCTATAAACAACCACCCAGTCTTCCATCCATTACCACTGATTTTACCTCAGCATAAACTCGACATTCAACTGCCCAGCCATTGATGGGAATATCAGCTTGTTTGTGCCTGAGAGGGTAACCCTTAGCAACACGGATCATTTCTTGGACTAGGTCCAGCCCGGTAATGCATTCTGTGACGGGATGTTCAACCTGCAAGGTCAAGAACTGTCAATCAGTAGGTAACAAAAACAACCAAAAAACACCATAAACAAGTAACAGACACGTGAAAATAATATAAGCCAAAATGGGGCAGAGAATAATTGTCAACTTTAAGGTTTTTTCCCCTGATGCAAGAGAAGAGAAGACTGTACCCAGGCACAATAATAACCACCTTGCTAAATAAATTAGCAAAACATGATAACAAAATACAAGATGTAAAAGCAAAACTGTAGAGAACATAAAAAAGGTTTTTTCTTTTAACAACATTTAAGTTGTTGCAAAATGTGTTAGTTTTTGTTTGTTTACAAGATTTTGTTTAAGGGGGGTTGTTTTGGGGGTTTAAGAGGACTCATATTTTTAACCTACCAATATATCACATTTTAACTGAAATCTTCAAAGTAGCTGATGATCAACCTATTCTGCTACACTTAACATGGCATGTACAGGAGCAGCTTATGATTTTCCATAGAACTAGTCTACCCTAAATCTCACCCATTCGCCTGCTTTCACTAACCTGTCCTGACAAGTAACCAGATTAGCGTAATCTTACATCAGCGCAGTGTAGCAGAAATGAGCAGATGGATCCTTCAGTTTTTTTTCCCTCCAGACTTATCTGTGTAATGCTTAGCATGCACAATAGCTGGGCTGGACCAGTAGAGTCACTCTGCTCTCTCAGCAAATTGCAGCTAACGGCTTTGGATGATGCTGTCATGGGAATACCCATTGTTCACACTAAAGCATGTATTTGTGCACAAGCACACACACAGACCCACATACAATATGCAGACATGTACTAAAGAGGTTTGTTGGTTTTTACAGCAAACTTTAACTAGTTATTTTGAAGCAGGTTGTGAAATAAAAGCAACATAAGACTGGTTATGTCCCTACGAGATGCACACAACACAAGATACACAATTTATTACCATGTAGTACACACATTGAGAATGTTAAAACTTCTCAGGCAAAAATGATGACAGAACTGTCATTCTTATTATAAAATGGTTTTGTTGTAGGAGTCAAATATCTTAAGAAATCCACTTCCCAATGGTTTCTCTATCATAAGATGTCATATTACATAAATTTTATGACACAGGAAAAGGTCAGTGAACAAACCAGTTGTCTTCCTTACTTCAAGTACACTAATTGAATGAAAACATTTAGTCATTATAATAATCTTATGTCTTATCAGAATGAGAAGATGTAGTGGTCTTTAAAAAAATAGCTTTGTAAAAATAAACAGATGGCATCCATAATTAGCCCTGTGTGTGCTGTGAGTTCGTTTATAGTTTCAACAACATTTTAAGACGTTTTGACATAATTTTAATGACAAATCATCACTGAAATAAGCACCTATTCTTTGAAGGATAAGTGTGACATTGAAATGGGAATCTGATTATGCAGTTTAAGGATGTACCTTTGGGATTCAATCTTGATTTTACCTAACATATGATACTCTCCAGTATGTCAAACTTAATAACAGTATTTGGAGAATCTATGAAACAATTCAGTATCTACCCTGCAGTGTTAAATTGAAGCAATTCAATTTCTATTAAAACTTGATTTTATTTAAAAAGTTAGTTATCATGTGGATAATTATTTGGATAACAACATTTGTTCCCTCAGTTAAAAATTTCAATATTAAAAATATACCTTGAACACGTTTAGAATTATAATACTCAAAAATAATTAAAATCCAACATTTCCTTTATACAAAGGGATTTTTGCTACTTAACTATATCATTATTTTTCTTGGATTACAATCGGCATTCCAGATACACTAGCTTCATTGTGAATTTCTGCTTTAATGTTGATGATCAAAATAGGATGGAATGTTTCTGGAAAGAAAAAATATTTTTGTTGTTTGGTTCTTAAGACTCACAAACATTTATTCAGTCTACCCTTCAATAAAGATCTTTGACTTGGTCAATATTATCGTATGTTGTTTCAAAATACTCCCTTTGTGTTTGTACAGAAAATGGTATTTCTTAACACAATATGGCAAGCAAGCTCTCATTATACATACATACATACATATTGGGCATTATTTAGATACTTTATGTTATTAGTAATGTATCATTAAATATTCTTTTATCAAATTAAAAGCCCCTGTAAGATCTCCAAAATATAATCACTAAGGCAAGATGGGAAATTGAGATGCATCTTCTACATTTTAAGTTAATTAAATGTCTCAGTTTAAAATAGTTAACAAACCTTTTGTTTCGGTATTTGGCATTTCTGTTTATTGGAAAAAATAGCATTATTCAGATTGTGAAGCACACGATGCAAAAGTACACTACAAATAAAATGGAACTAACTCTATTCTGTCCAACAAATTATGACCCTGACCCTGCAAATTCTGAGAGGCTGCAAGGATCCACTACAGTATCTGAACTTAAGTCTCTTATCTTTGTTGGGGAGAGATCCATACTATGCAACTGGCCACCAAATAGAAAGCTGATATATCTTTTTTTTTTCTAGTACTGGAAGGGCCTCGTACAGGTGTATGGTTATTCACTAAAAGACAATTGTTTTTGTCAATTATTACTGAAGAGTTTTTATTGTTTGGTAGCTTGTTTTTAAAGAGAATTTCTCCTTTAATGTAATATTTTCTCTTTTTTGTTTTTGTCCCTTAAATTATTTAACTTTTACCCTCTCCTTTTCAGAATTCTATTCTGATTTCCTGCTTGTAATATGCTTACCTTCTTTTTAAATTTTCCCCTACCAATTTTACTCCTTTCTCTCCTCACTTCCTCCTATTAAGGCTGCTAAATCAAAGCTTTATTTTTTTTGTAATAAAGCTTATTTAAATAGACTCATGAAAGCAGTTGTATCACATTTCACAGTGATCAGCTGTTTTAACCCAAGGCCACACTTGGATATCTCCAGTGCAACTTCAGTCAATGAGGCAAGAGGTACTGGCGTGAATTTTCCCACTCTCACATAAATATTATTTACCACATCATCTCTGCGCTTAACACAAACAGTAAAACAAGATATGGCCTCAATAATCTACAGGTGATAAGTATAACAAGGCAAATGACCTCATTACCAGCAGGACAAGAAAATATATTTGTCAACAATGAACATTCATCATATATACCCACCCAAGACATTCCATTTACTGTCAATACAGCAAATTTCACCATAAGCTATTCACAGTGAGAAATAAGCTCTCACTTGCACCTAGTGAAGTATGAAATGTATCTGCTTAAGAAGTTTCACTTATTTCCCAATTCCAGGACTTATATATGTCTGAGGATGTTACTTAGTCTTTCTATTTTTATGTCTCTCTCCACAAAAGGTTGCATATTGTACCCACCAGTGGCAATAAAGAAAAAGTAGTTTCAGGTAGCTGAAGAGGAGGAATCGCAGCAATCTGTCCCTCAGAGACAACAAGTGCACTGACATACTTCACAACTCCTATGGGGAGAAAAGGGGGGCAACACAGTGCCAGTTTGCAGATGGGAACGCAGATACAAAGTGATAAAGTGTCCTGGCCAAAATTACAAACCAACAAGCAGCAGACCATAGATTCTCATGGTAAAATTAGTTTCTGGTCAACTGCTCTGGCTCCCAAACTGCACCTACCTCAATCCCCTTAGGACCCAATTAAACAGAACCTAGACAGCAGTCAGAAACAATCAGTAACTTTTATGAACAATTTCAGTGAAGAGCTGGAATACTAATGGTAGCTCCCCTTACCCATAATGGCATAATTTCAGGGCATGAACTTTTTCATTTTTCTAAGAAGATGCTTGCCCCATCAGTAAACATTCTCTAGTACACCACACCCATGCTGTGTGTTCAAATATATGAAGTTCCAAGCAAGTTAAATGAAGTGTTTGAACAGAACACTAGCAGCCACAAAAGCCTGAATTTCAGTGGGCTAAGAAAAATAGCATGTGCCATCCTTCCTACCATGTCATATGTGCCTTTACAATCAAACTTTAGACATAAGGCACAGTTTTAAAAAATCATATGATTTACCCCTTACCCTGTAGAGTCTCCTTGATACCATAACATATTTTCACTAGCCAGAAACACAATCTTACAGAACAGATTGTGGACTAACAATTACCAAATCTACTGGTGCTTTTCTTTCAGTAACTTATGCCTTCTATTTTGGAGAAATAGAGCTCCTTCCGCATTTCTACAGTTACGTATGTAAGTGTTCATGCTACTTTTATGCACCTGCTCTTGAGACTTGGTCTCATCTATAGCATTAGTTACACTTCTTGAAATGCAGCTTTTTTTTAAAAAATGCATGACACCTTTCATACAAAATGTATCTCAACATGCCTTATTAAGTTAAAGGGCAGTAGTGTGAGGATCAGCTCATCAGATGGTTTAAATCAACATGGGTTCAATAGAACTATGTCTATCTACAGCAGCTGATGAGCTAGGCCA